CTTGTTGAATTTTAAGTTTGGTTTTGATTATCAAGTGACTCTTAAGCTTAAAGGAAGCTTAATTTGTCATAAAACAATAAGAGGAAAGGTATAGAAAGGATTAAAGGAAGGAAGTGAATAAATAAAATCTTGGTAGAAAGACATTTATGGGATTTCCAGACCAAATTTGACTTGTCAATGGTCTAATTAAGAAGTTAGAAATAATAGAATTGAATTTGGAACATGTTAAAAATTTAGTTAATTCTTTAATTACATATGGAGAATATGATTTTGATGTTAAAGAGGAGATTAATGAATAAAAATGAGTTTGAATATGTGTATGTGAGTTAAGAATATAAAAGGGGATGAAATATGAAGAGTTGAGCTAAAAAGAAAGTGAATTTCGTGCTCTAACTAGAATTTTTTGGTTGTGTGCATCGATGCACATTCATTGTGTACCGATGCACTCTCAAATAAATGAACAACGAATGCAATGAGTGTATCGATGCATAGGGAGTGCATCGATACACCCCTTAAAATGGAAACATCGAATATAAATTGTGTATCGATGCATAGGGTGGTGCATCGATGCACATGTTAAAGGATGCATCGATACACTATGGAATATACCAATGCACTTCAATGGGAAATGGAATAAATCTTTCTTTTAGTATAAGAATTGATAGATTATAGTATATCAATTGGATACTGATAAGTATTAATACATGATTGTGTAGACATCGATCGAAGAGTAAGATACGCAAGAAAGAGAAAGAGTTTGGTAGTGTTATTGGTGATCAGGTGAGTACATGATATGAAGTGTAGTTATGTTAAGGAATTATGACTTGCGAGAAGTCTAATTCTGATATTAGGTAATATTAGTACCAGATGTAAGCATGTAGTGATATGATGATCAGAGAAATTCGAGTCTATGCATATGTTTAGATGTAATTGCATCTCTATGTTTGTGATCTAGGTGAATATGCCTTGTTGCATTACATGTTATGAGATATATGTTGTATGATAGTGATCTATGAGATATTGATAATAAGTCATAAGATTTCATACATATGTAATATAAGTTAAAAGATAAGAAATAATAGTTATATGCATATGAGAAAAAGGTATATATGAACTATATGAAATGGGATAAAGAACTATGTGATGTGACCATGTGTGAAAAGGATGAATAATGTGAATTTCATGAAAAAAATGCTACGTGAAAGTAAACTACGTGACTATGTGATCATATGAAATGTGATAGAGAGCTATGTGAAAGAACTATGTGATATAAATATGTGAATGTGTAATGAGGTAAAAGATAATGCCCATGTCATGTGTTATGAGAGCTATAGGTATAGTTGGCATGCCAAGAGTCGAGGGTCTACGCGGTCTTTCGGGACATAGTGGTCCTTCGGGACATATGTGTTATATGTGGTCCTTTGAGACATCTACGTGGTCCTTCGGGACAAATTCTATGCGCCCCTAGTGGGAATTATACGAGCTGTGGTGACAGCATAGTGCATAACCTCTATGTACTCACATACCTTAAGTTCTCAGTAGTGTGCATGGGCTAACCAAAAAGGATAACAATAAAATGTGAGTTGTAATGAGAAATGTGTTACATGTTTTATATGAGGATATATGTGAATGTGTGTATGTGTTACATGAAAGAATGTGTGTTTTAGTTTATGGTATTTGTTATGTGATGTACATGAATATATGTTAATATATATATATATATATATAAATGAATATCAATGACTCATATGATGATGTAAGAACATGTTATAAGCTATAGAATATGAAAATAAGAGATCATATGAACAAGAGATAAGAGATATAAAGGATAATCATATAAGAGTATGAGAAAATATAAATGATGACATGCATGTGTGTATGTAATTATTACATGAAAAAGTATGTATACAAGTATGATGTTGTATTACATGATATATACATGCATTTGATAATTTACATATGTATTTATATGTCTCACTAAGTCTATAACTTAGCGTGTGAGTGTTTCACACGTAGGTTCAGGAAAGCAGGAAGAGAAGCTAAGAGGAGCAAGACATGTTAGTTTCTCCTTACTGAAGGTCAGATCAGAACATAAATGAATAACATGTATTTTGTTATATAGAATCTAGTTGGCATGTAGTTAAAAGATTTGTATTAGATACGCTCTGATCAGTTTTGTAAAACCATATGTTTTATATCATAGAAAGTAAATGGTTTTATTAGAAATATCAAACTGAATCTTGGGTATTTTGTAAAAGTAAAAGTAAATGTTTTGAGAAGTCAATGTGACACCTCAGACTCGTATCCGGGTCGGGTACGGGTTGGGGGTGTTACAGGGTCGATACGATTTTTGTGTTTAGGGAGTAAGGAGATTGAAAGATAGAAAGTTGCACAACGATTTATAGTGGTTCGACTTCTCAACCAAGTCTACATCCACTACCTTAGCTCCTCACCAAGGATTTTCCAACAAATTCACTAATTTGTTCTTTCTTTTTCAAGGACAAAGAGTAACCTTTACAAACTCCCTAGTTTTTCACGGGCTAAACTATAACCTTTCCCTAGCTTTTAGTATGCTAAGCTAGAACCAAAACCCCTTTACAATGAAAGGAACTGTAAACAAGAAAACCGCTCTAAGGTAGGTGTTTACAAGAATTAAGCTCACAATAACAAAAATATTTACAAGAGAAAGATAAAATAAGAATGAAAAACTCTTCTCTTTTGTTTGATTGCTTGGATAGTTGTTCTCTTACTTCTTTCAGTGTCCTCAGCTTGTATTTATAGCTTGGAATGTGTTTGAAGTCGTATCTAGCTGTTGGAGATGTTTTGGAGCCTTTTGGGGATGATTTTTCTGCAAAAATAGGCTGCCTATAACATGGGGTATCGGTACCCCTTCATAGGGTATCAGTACACCTTCATTAAATTTAAATTAAACTAGCCGTTACTAGTCGTTACAGCCAGGGTGTATGGATACACTACAGAGTGTATCGGTACACCAGTGTATAGATACACTGCAGGGTGTATCGGTACACCAGTGTATGGATACACTGCAGAGTGTATCAGTACACTTTAGCATTTTTGCTCAAATATGAATTTAATGGACTTTGAATTATTTTTGAAACCTTTTTAAAACTTTGAATAAATTCAATTCAAGTCCAAAAACATTTTGTCTTAAATTTGTTATATCGAAACATAATTCAACATAGGTTACTTACTAATTTATATATTAATTAATTTGTATCACTATAAATACGAGTTAAACTCTAACAGTTTGGGTTTATAGTTGTTATTGATTAAAAGACGATCATTAACGAGTGTTTGGATGAATAAAATGATTATTCGTGAGGTAGAAAGGGAAAAGTTGTGGTAAAGAGTGTCAATCCCCTTCTAGATTGTGTCGAGGGGTATTTTTAGTAGTCCTTAGTGTGTATGTCAGACATAGAGTTGTTATAGTTGTTCGTAGGTCGGCAGATTAAGATGATTTATTTATCAGACCTCAATTTTACTTTGACAAATCACATGAGTTCCTTATTCATATAATGTGGTTGATTTAAAAACTTATGTTCGAAGGAATATAATATTTTTTAATATCTTGATAATTGAAGAAATAGATAAGAGACATTTAATCAACAGAGAATTAGTAATTTTTGAAGGTCGTTATCTAAAGATATAAAAAAATATAAGGAATACATGAAAGTTAAGATAGACTCCATTGTTGCATATAAGGAATACAAGAATTACTTGTAAAAGATACAAGGCCAATGAGTCAACCACCGTCCACTTGATCAAGTTGATGAAACCTAAGATAGGTTCCATTGTTGCAAAGTGGAATATATTGCTTTTGGGATGAGATATGAAATTCTAATCAAAAGGGGAAAAGGGTCCTTTTTGCCTTGTGGGGGTCCATAAAATACAAGGGTCGTGTCCACCCCATGTGCAAAATCTCCATTATAGGATCCTGAGAAAGAAAAATGAAAAGGTTAAAATCTACTTAGAGAATACTTTTGTTATACTCAAGTACAATACAGTCTTGTTGTGATAATACTAAACAATTGAATCCACATACACTTGATGTTAGTATAAACAAATAATATATATATATATAAGTACAATTGTAGAGATAATATAGAGATAGAGGGAGGGAAAGCCATTGGGACACCACGTGGGATATGACCCACCGGTTCCCTTAAAGAGAGAGCATCAAACAAGACCATGACTGGCCTAACCATTACTGTTTACAAGTGAACCATCCATTCCTTAGTGTGGACGCCTCTCAACACCACCCCTTTTATTTTATTTTATTTTATTTTATTTTATTTTTATCTCTCTCATGTAAGAAAGACAAAAACACGTGAGCTAACCTCCTCCTCCCCCACCCTTTTCATCTCTCACTTAATCATAAGCCTCAACTGATTCTATCATATAATATCCCATTCCCTCCTTCATTTGAGACATTGACACTATTCCGCACCATCAAACTTTGATGGATCACCTTTCCCCTTTCAAGAATTACATTCTTATTATAATCCAACCAAGGTTAGATTTTTATTCCATCCTTTATTATTTGATATTATTTTAAAAATAATTATATGAATTGATGGAGTGAAATTGTGATGAACGAAAAAAGAAAAGACTAGTTAAGAACCTATTTCTTGACAAGTGTGTAAGAAGAAGTTTCGGGGGCGAGTGTAGGGTTGATTCAACAAGATTTTTCCAACTTTTTTTCATCTGAAACAGTCAATGTGAACACCATTATTTACTTGTATTTTTTATTTATACCTTTGGTGCAGAATGTCATGGGGAAAGATTTTCTGAACGGTCAAAAGCATAATCTAGTTAACTATTATTTTTAAATCAAATGTTGTTCTATCCATATCCATATCCATATCCATATCCATATCCATATCCATATCCATATCCATATAATCAGGATCTTAAGAATAAACAAGCTAAAGGAGGAATTGATAAAAAAATATTATCATTAGCTATGAACAAATGAATCAATAATAAATATCAAGACTAATTCCTTCATAGATATACTATTTTTCTACTTACGATAATTTACAAAGATATATATTTAAAAAAAAAAGATGAGAAGATTGATCAGTAATTATACCATCCTTTTTCTACAAATTACCTTAATTTTAATTCACTACAAGCCCTTAAACCAAAAAATGGGTTGTGGGGGAGGAGTCTTTCCTTTCCTTTCTTCTTCCTATACTAAGTTCTAAAGAACTTAATCAACATGTTGCTGAAGGGTTGTACAAGGGATTGTATAAATGAGGCTTCAAAGCCATTGAAAATGGAATCTTGGAATTGCCATCGGCAACGCCGCCGATTCTTTCACAAGACGGGCACATGGTGAGAGTAGACGCCGGCATCTGCATGCAAAAAGGCTGAGCCGCCATTTTCAGTGCCTTGAGTTCTTGTAGTTCCTTTTGCAGTCTCCTGTTCTCATCTGTCAATGTCTCACAACACTTCTTCAAGAACTCACAGTCTACCTCAGTTTGCTTAAGCTTTGTCCTGCACATAAAGAAAACATTTTTTTTTATTGTTTTGCTTGGTGAATGAAAAAAGTAAAAGGGAACAAGTTTATAGACGATCAATTTACCTTGCTCTCCTGTTCTGGAACCAAACTTCAACTTGTCTAGGCGTCAGGCTTAATTGCTTGGCTAAAGCTTGCTTTTGCTTCTGTTTTTGCATAAAATATAACCAAAAGATTAAACCAAGCTGATACAGGGAAAGAGATGAAGAGCTTGGGAAAAAGGGTGAGAGAACTAACAGGATTGAGAGTGCTATGTTGTTTGAAGCTTTCCTCGAGAACAGCAGATTGTTCTTTGCTGAGCCTAAGTTTCTTTCTTGCATTAAAACCGTCTTCGTCTTCATCACTAACTCTACATGAATTCTTCTCTACCTCTATTTCCTCGTTGCTAAACTCTCTTTCTCTCTTGATTCTACCACTAGAAAACGAAGAAACAGTGCTATGGGGAGAAGCTTGACGAAGATACAAATCGCCGGCCTTGAGTTCCTGATCATGGTGACGAAGATAACCACCCTTATTAACGTCAACCTTTTTGTTCACTTGGTAAAACCGAGCACCACAAAGACCCAAGGTCAACGACGGTTCAAAACTCGATGGTGGTGGCGCCGCCGGCGGCGAGGGTGGTTGCTGTCGTTCAAACCTGAGACATGATGGCTTCTTGGTCGGAGTTTCCGGGGTCGAGGAAAAGCCTAACCCTAGAACAAGGCTGGTATTACATGCATCATCACCGTCAAGACCCATCAAGCTGAAAATTGAAAATATATTTGTTTTACTGATGGAATTGGAGAGGCTTTGTTTTCCTTCTTATGAAAGGATACGAGGGAGCAAAAGGGTTCTTAAGAAGGGAAGTTGGGTGGGTGGTTGTCTATGATTATTAATCAAAGGAATGAATTCTTATTGATTAAAAAAAAGTTCTCTTTTCCTTCTTCTCCTTTCCTCTATACAAAGGTTGACCAGTTGAACCCCACTACATTTATCAACCATTATCTCGAGAAACAAACAAGGCAATTTCCTCTGTCAATGCTATGGAAATATTACCCACAGTCCACAGGGCTGCTGTTAGCATATCAAGGGAATGATTTGTCAGCACTTGGCCACTCCACTCATCAATCTACCATATTTAATTACTAATTATTACCCCAGCTCTTTCTTTTTATGTACCACTGTTTCTTTAACTTTTTGCATGTTTCGATTATCACCTTGCTTTACTTTTACCCTCTTTTTCCATGTATTGGTTTAATGACAGATAAAAAATCTTAGCCATGTTAAACTTTTATTGAAATTTCATCATATAAGAATTTTATTCTTATTTCGGAGTTGTTTAGATATATTTTAATATATTTAAACTTGCATAACAATTTTCTTTTGTGTTCAGTCTTTCCGTAACAATACCCAATAATTAATATATTCGGCCTAATGGCCTATGTTTTTGCAATCCATTTAAAGATTACATAGGCTGTAAACTTTCTCGATGTATAGTAGTATTAAATTGGAGAATTATGAAAGCCTGCCTTCAATTAATTGGAAATAATGGGGACATCGTTGGATACTAACAAGTTCCCTTAACAACAGACCACATGAACTGTCTCCCACTCCATGCCTGGTTTAACTGGTTAGAGATGGGAACCATGTCACCCTTGCTTCATTTCCATTTATTTTTTGGCTTTTTTTCATTTCAAGAAGCTCTTGTTTCCCCTTTCTTATAATTGTGAGCATGGACAATAGGAGGGAAAACATGTCCACTATCTCTTGTAGTTTTAACAATTGGTCTAAAAAATTTATTCGAATTATAATATATTATTTTATTATTTCATTAAAAATGAAAAGAATAATGGAGCGAGAATGGGGATGTTTGCTTAAGCAGAGAAAGTTGGGAGTGGATTGTGTAAGCACTTCCCAATAATGCTTTTGTCGGCTATACTTATCAAAAGTTACGCCACCTATAAAACATGATAATCACTTAATACAACTAACCAACAAGGGGATTGTCTCAAGAAAAGCGGGCTAATATACGGTTAATATATGGTGTTACTCGATATATTATAATATATTTAATAAATTCGGTTTAGCGCTATCGGAAATCTCGAGTAATAACAATGTTGTAGATGGAAATCATGAAGAAAATATTAAAAAATTTGGCAACCGGCAAACTTAACTTGTCGATTTGTGTCGATACAAATGAAAAAGGTATCCCTCCATAGCAATATAACAAGTAAAAATATGATAAAACCGGTTTCATTATGATAAAACCGGTAAACCGCTGCTGGATATATCGAAAGTATCGATTAGATTTAAATAAGTATCGACACTTTTGGAATTTAAAAGAGAATAAGTAATAGCACCTATAAAGTTTCGATACTTTATAAAAACGTATTGATCCATAACAATATAACAGGTATAAGTATGACAAAATCGGTCACGAAATGATAAAACCAATAAAGAGCTACCGGATATATTGAAAGTGTCGATACGTTAATATAAGTATCGACAATTTTTGAATTTAAAGGAGAAGAAGTTATAGCGCCTATAAAGTGTCGATACTTTATACAAATGTATCGATCCATAGCAATATAATAGGTAAGAATATGACAAAACAAGTCTCGAAATGATAAAACCGGTAAAAAGCTACCAGATATATTGAAAGTGTCGATAAATTAATATAAGTATCGACACTTTCGTAATTTAAAAGAGAAGAAGTTATAGCGCCTAAAAAGTGTCGATACTTTATGAAAATGTATCGATCCATAACAATATAATAGGTAAAAATATGACAAAACCGGTATCGAAATGACAAAACCGGTAAAGCGCTAACGGTTATGTTGAAAGTGTCGGTACTTTAATAAGTACGCGTAAAAAAGTATCGACACTTTCAAAGAAATAGGTAAATATCCTATCGAAAGTATCGACACTTCACATAAAAGTATCGACACTTATGTAATTGTATCGATTAAATATAAATAACATATCCGGTGTAAATATAAAGGCATAGCTAAATTTCCTCTGAAAATAGATAGAGCTTTTGAAATCGAAGCGTAACTGTTGCTACATTTCAGAAGGCGTTTCTACGTTGAAGTTTGTTTGTTTGTTGCTGCATTTCAAATCGAAAGGTACGTTGTTGAAACCCTAGTTTTTTATTATTACAGTAATTAGGGTTTTTATGTGTTGTTGTTTGGGGTTTTCGAAGTAAAGAAACATTTGGGACCGATTACATGTAGAAAGTGATCTTCTAGGTAGATGATAAATATCGATACTTTTATTTAATATTATAGGTAGAAAATGATATTATAGGTTGTATAAATGTGCCGATACTTGGAGTATTGAGTGTTCCCATTCGTTTGAAGGAAATAGGGAGGTTTTGGGACCGATTATTATATAATATTATAGGTAGAAAATAAATATGGATACTTGTATATAATATTATAGGTAGAAAATGATATTTTAGGTTGTATAAATGTGCTGACACTTATTGTAGTGGCCATTCAAATTCTTTTGAAGACCAACCGTTTTACTACAATAGTGGTTATCAATTTTTGTATACAAGTATTTGATTTGATTTGCGTAAACTAATATATGAAGGAAAAATGAAGTCAATGGGTGGAAAGCAACCAAAGGGTGAATATATGTACTTCTAGTAAGTATCAATTTCTTTTTGTTATTATTGTTGAAATGGTAATTGAATTAAAGTATTTAAGAACTTTAAATTGATTACAAATTTTAAATGTTAACAGTATGGTTGAATGGAAAATGATGAAGGAAGATGGCACACACAGCGGTTCGGTATGTAAAATGAAATTGACATTGAGTATTATTTAGCGTTAATGTATTGATTAAGAAACGTTTATGCTTAATATTAGGTGACAAAAGATGTGAGGTCGAAATAGAATTCGATGAGTGATGCTCAAAAGGAACCTTACATCACACAGTCAATGAATGATAGTAAATAGTACAAAGAACGGAGGAAAGCACATGAAAAGAAGGTATTCATTAAACTTGTAAATACGTTGATACAAGATATATAAGAATAATAACATTATATATTGTTAAAAAATGTAGGATGTGTCGACAATGTGCAGCATAAAAAGGGTGTATTCATTAATTGAACACCTTAAAAAGAATGATCAGTTGAATGTAGTGAGTGAAACGGGGTTTGGATCATTGATAGGAGTAAAGGATCGACCAATTCGGAGGGAATTGTGTCGATCCTTGATGGAGCAATTTGATGTCAAACAATGTATTGCTAAATATGGCGATTATTCATTCCCTCTGGGGGTATCGACTGCTGCAGCCGTCTTGGGGGTACAAAACAAAGGCAAAAGTGTTGTAGAAGTCTGTAGGAGTAAGAACTGGAAAGCACTTGCCTCCAAATATGGTTTGAATCATAAGGTGACATATGCTGAAGTTGAAGAGGATATCAAAAGTGGATCTTACCGGGGGATGAGCTAAAGGCTCGAGTTCTATTGTACCTTGTCGGGATATTTCTTTGTCCAACGGGTGATACGTCAACGAACAAGGACAATATGAAGATCATTTGCAATGAAGGCTTGAAGGGTGAATTCAATTAGGCTGAATATGTCCATTCGAGATTGATTGAATCAATAATCACTTTTCAAAAGGGTAGCCAGAGATACCTCAAAGGGTGCATAGCAATCTTAGAGGTAACTGAGTTGAAGAATGTTTTTGTTTTTTTATATAAAATGATGGTATAGTTATTATATAAAATGATTAATTTTATTATAAATTCAGGTTGCACAGTTTGATTATTCGTCGGGCTGTGATAGTTTGCCGGCTTATGAAAGACACGGAGTGGCACGCATCCGTGCATGGGGAAGGAAAAAGTGGTTAGAGTGATGGCGAAGTTGAAGGTGGATAGATCGAGGAAGCTAGAAATGGTAATAAATGAAATTAAATAATATTAAGAATATAATCAATGTCTTAATACAAATTTAATTTTAAATGTTATTTTCAAGGACGTAGAGGAGGCAGAGGAGGCAGAGGAAGAGATGGTTGGAGGGGTGGATGACGTTCAGGGGGATTACGGTCAGGGAAAACAGAGTAAATTCGACATTTTGATGTCTGAATTGGCTGATATTAAAAAAATCATTTTTGATATTCATCAAATACAATCAAGAGTCAAAGAGACACATGAGAGGCGGAAGTGAAAGGAAAGATAGATGTATTGGTGAAAAAAGTTGAGGTGTTGAGTGGTGAAGTTAATCTGTTGACGGGGGGGGGGGGAAATTGATGGAGTTGTCAAGGAGGTTGTGGAAATAAGGAGTGAACTTTCGGGGGTGAAGGAGGTGGTTCATAAAAACTTGGATAAATGGGGAAAATTGAAGGGTGAAATAAAAGAGATGAAGAGCTATGTAGAGAAAAAATAAGATGAACTGAGAAAATTTGAAGAAGAAAAGATGGAGGAAATGAGGAGAAAGGATGTCACTAACATCTATACACCGGAGAGTGTTATAGATGCAGATTTGGATTCGGAATGTCCTGCACCCCAAAAGAAGAAGCAGAAGGTAAGTTGAATAAAAGATAACTTAATTTTATTTTTATCATGTTGTTGTGACACAAATTTGTATGCAAAACTATAGGTTGTAAAAGCGGATATTCCAATCGGAATTGAACCGGTCGAAGCTGCAATTTGTGATTATTTATGGAATAGTGGGTTAGAATCGGGGTAAGTCACTTATATTGCTTTGTGAGTGATATTTAAATATTTCATGAAAATATATTAATCATGAAAAGATATTAATCCTAATGATTCATACAGATATATTGTAATC